GGGGGCTGGGATCCCACAGGGATAGGGAGCTAGGATCCTGCAGGAATGGGGCCCCAGGATCCCGCAGGGATGGGGAGCTGGGATCCTGCAGGAATGAGGGGCTGGGATCCTGCAGAGATGGGGGGCTGGGATCCCACAGGAACAAGGCGCTGGGATCCCACAGGGATGGGGCCCCAGGATCCCACAGGGATGGGGGGTTGGGATCCTGCAGGGATGGGGAGCTGGGATCCAGCCCCAGTACCGTGTGGGGATGGGGAACCTGGGGCTGCTGCCCGGCCCAGGCTGCGGGGAGGGGGTCTCCGTGGGTCTGGGCACAGGGTCCTGTCCCCAGTCCCCACAGCCCCCCCAGCCCCCAGCTCAGCTCCCACTGCTCTGAGCTTTCCCAGCTCCAGCACAGGCTGCTGCTCCATCCCAGTGCCCACATTTCCCTGCTCTCTGCTGGGTTTGGGGTTAATATTTTGTGTTAATCCTTATTATTATTATTTCAGGATGTCATCCATGGCAGCTCTTGCCTCGATGGCCTCACGTTTGGCTGCAGACCAAGGGAACAGGGCTGGGACATGAGGCAGTGGCAGGTCCCCTGGGCTCGGGGTGTGGGGGGGACACACCAACTAGAGCCCAGCCAGGGGGTTCCCTGGAGGGATGGGGACAACTGGGGACATGGTTGGAGGTGTGAGCAGACCAGGGATGCCATGTTGCTGTCCTGCCCCATGGGGTGACAGCCTGGAGTCTGGTCCCTCCCTCCAGGGCTGGGGCGAGGACGTCAGGACTCTTAGGTCCCTTCTGAGCTGCTGGTGGGGCCTGCAGCTCCTGGTCCTTGTCACTGTGCCCTGATGTCCCTGCCCTGAGCACAGCTCAGGACCCCACAGAGCAGGAGCAAGCCCAGGGCACCCTGTGCCTCAGTTTCCCCCCTCTGCCAACCAAGTCCCCGTAGCTCTGGGTGGTGGCTTTGGGGCATCTCTCCTGCCTCCCCCCTGCCCCGGGTGCCCGGGGGGATCCCCAGGGTGGGACCGTTGCCCTTAAAAAGGCAGCAGGGAGTTTGGCAGCCACTGGTTGGGCCTCTGCGAGGGCCACGGGCTCCACCACCTGCCAGGGCTGCATCTGCAGGGCTGGGGGTGGCTCTGGGCCCCCCAGGTTGCATCAGGCAGGGGGGACTGGGGACAGCACCCTCCTCACCCCCTGTGGGGGATCCAGGCTCATCCAGCCCCCCAGATCCTCCCAGGAAGAGGGTGGGAGCTGAGAGCACCCACAGTGCAGAGCTGGGAGCCCAGACCCTCGAGTTCTGGCCCTGCACGAGCTGAGGATTTGGGGCACGAGGGGCTTTAGGGCACTGAGAACCCAAAAAACGGGGCAGAGAGAGAAAACCCCAGGGATGGACATCCCAGGGGTGCTGGAGAAGGGGGGGAGACACCAAGGAACGGAGCCCGGGAGGAAGCGCCGCACGGACCCGCTGCCACCCCCACATCTGGGGATGGGACACCAAATTCCCACCCAGCTCCCGGGGTGTCCCCCCCCCCAGGCACAGCCCCAACCCCCATCTCCACCCGGATGGGGTTTCTCCACACTTTTCCCCAGGAACCAAAGACACTTCCACCTCCTTTTTTTGCCCAGCCCGTCGCTTATAAGGCCTTGAGCCTCACTTGTTTATCGCTGCGGAGCATAAAAGGAAGGGTCTCACCGCCGCGACGTCGCCTCCCAACCATCCCCACCTACAGTTTTTTTCTCCCCCCCTCGTACAATAATTAACCGTGCCTGGGTCCTACCATCAGCCCGAGGTCAATTTAATGAAATAAACCACCTTATATGGCCATATGGCCAACACACCATCACTTAGCCTATTTAGGGTCTTTGTTTAGAGAGGATCCGCCTCTGAGGTTTCTGGGGCTGGTTGGTATTTATACCAAAGGCTCCTCGGGGCTCAGTCCCAGAGGAAAGGAGCTCTTGCCTCCGTGGTGAGTACTGCCCAGCCCCCCTGCTCCTCTTGCTTCTGGGAAAACGGGAGGGAAAAACACCCCGGGGGGAGGAGGGGGGTTGGGGAAGGCCCCCCAATTTTTTATGGGTGGCCCCAGCACGGAGAGGGGTGACGACCCCCAGCACGACCCCTCAGCTTCCATGGAGGTGATGAGAGTTGGGCTGTGGCCAAGGAGGGTCGTGCTCTTCCAGAAACTCTTGGGATTTGGGGATTTGGGGGTTATTGGTTGTTTTTTTTTTTCTTCTTGGGCTCCCGTGAGGGTTTATTTTTTTTGCCTGTTTGCCTCTGGATTTGGGAGCATCCACCAGCAAAATAGGGCACCCCCCCTCACCCCACCCCCGGAAAGGGGCAAGTTTTTTCCCATTTTTGGGAAAGGACACGAGGGCAGAGCTGAGACTGGAGTGAAGGGGGCATCGCCTGCCCCAGGGGGCACCAGCTGGGGACGGTGGCACCAAAGCTCCTGGTGAGGAGACCTTTGGCACCTCTTTTGGCACTGGCTGGTGGAAGATGGAGAAGCAGCACCAGCGTGGAGCAGCACCCATGGGAGCAGCACCCATGGGAGCATCACCCCTCTCCCAGCATCCCAGACCCCGCGGCCACCCCACGCCGGAGGATTTTCCACCTCCCCAAGGACTCCAACACCTGAAGCCAGAGATGGTGTCACCCCTTCTAATCCTGTTCTTCCCCCATTTCGCCCCAGCTTTTCCCCCCAGGTCCCCCCTGAACACCAACCACTCCCAGCCCCACCATGTGTGAGGAAGAAACCACCGCCCTGGTCTGTGACAACGGCTCTGGGCTCTGCAAGGCCGGGTTTGCCGGCGATGACGCCCCTCGCGCCGTCTTCCCCTCCATCGTGGGGCGGCCCCGGCACCAGGTGGGTACCCGAGGTGGGACCAGCCACCCCTTTCTCCTCCTTTAATCACCCAAACGAGACTAACGAGGCTGTCTCCGGGCGTTAGGGTGTCATGGTGGGCATGGGGCAGAAGGACAGCTACGTAGGCGACGAGGCGCAGAGCAAGAGGGGGATCCTCACGCTCAAGTACCCCATCGAGCACGGCATCATCACCAACTGGGATGACATGGAGAAGGTGAGACCCCCGCCCTGGGGGCCAGGGAGAAGGTGCTGGCTCTGGCTTCTCGTTGAGAGTATGACCACAAATCTTCTTTGCCTGCCCTAGATCTGGCACCACTCCTTCTACAACGAGCTGCGTGTGGCGCCCGAGGAGCACCCCACGCTGCTCACCGAGGCGCCCCTCAACCCCAAGGCCAACCGGGAGAAGATGACGCAGGTAAAGCACCCGGGGACCCCAGGGATGGGGACGGACCCACCAAAACCACAGGAAGGGCTGAAGGATCTGGGGGTTTAGCAAGGCAGGAGGGTCTGGCACAGGCGGTGGGGTGAAGTTTGGTGCTTTCATGAGGGCAGAGCTCTTGGTGACGCGCTCGTGTGGACCCGTGGGTTCCTCCCTGGTGTGTGGACCCGTGGGCTTGGCCACGCCACGTGCTAACCCACCTTTGTCCACGCCATGCACAGACCCACATGACTCTCTGTGCAGTGCCAGGACTCCCCTTTCCCTGCCCTGACCCACCTTGTTTTCCACGTGATGGGTTGACCACGATGGACCATCAATGCAACAATCCACCTGTTTTGCCACGCGATGCCACGATCCGCGTGTTTTCCCATGGAATGTGCTGGCCCAGGAGGACAGGGCCCCCAAGGATTTTTGGGGAAGATGTGCTGGGGACCCCCACGCTCCCCCCTAACCCACTGCCCCTCTTGTCCTCCCTCCCAGATCATGTTTGAAACCTTCAATGTCCCCGCCATGTACGTCGCCATCCAAGCTGTCCTCTCCCTCTACGCCTCTGGCCGCACCACTGGTGAGTAACACACCTGACATCTACAACCCTTGGACCATCCATGGTGGGGAAGGGATCAAACTGGCTTCCAGCCCCCTCCCTCACCTTCCTCCCCTCTTCCCAGGCATTGTCCTCGACTCTGGGGATGGTGTCACCCACAACGTGCCCATCTACGAGGGCTACGCTCTGCCCCACGCCATCATGCGTCTCGACTTGGCCGGTCGTGACCTCACTGACTACCTCATGAAGATCCTCACCGAGAGGGGCTACTCCTTTGTCACCACCGGTACGGGGCTGGGGAGGGGGTGACAGGGACCCCTGTGGTGCCCCAGTGGCACCAGGTTGAGCCTCATCATCACCTCCTGCAGCTGAGAGAAGGTGCTGGCTCTGGCTTCTCGTTGAGAGTATGACCACAAATCTTCTTTGCCTGCCCTAGATCTGGCACCACTCCTTCTACAACGAGCTGCGTGTGGCCCCCGAGGAGCACCCCACGCTGCTCACCGAGGCGCCCCTCAACCCCAAGGCCAACCGGGAGAAGATGACGCAGGTAAAGCACCCGGGGACCCCAGGGATGGGGACGGACCCACCAAAACCACAGGAAGGGCTGAAGGATCTGGGGGTTTAGCAAGGCAGGAGGGTCTGGCACAGGCGGTGGGGTGAAGTTTGGTGCTTTCATGAGGGCAGAGCTCTTGGTGACGCGCTCGTGTGGACCCGTGGGTTCCTCCCTGGTGTGTGGACCCGTGGGCTTGGCCACGCCACGTGCTAACCCACCTTTGTCCACGCCATGCACAGACCCACATGACTCTCTGTGCAGTGCCAGGACTCCCCTTTCCCTGCCCTGACCCACCTTGTTTTCCACGTGATGGGTTGACCACGATGGACCATCAATGCAACAATCCACCTGTTTTGCCACGCGATGCCACGATCCGCGTGTTTTCCCATGGAATGTGCTGGCCCAGGAGGACAGGGCCCTCAAGGATTTTTGGGGAAGATGTGCTGGGGACCCCCACGCTCCCCCCTAACCCACTGCCCCTCTTGTCCTCCCTCCCAGATCATGTTTGAAACCTTCAATGTCCCCGCCATGTACGTCGCCATCCAAGCTGTCCTCTCCCTCTACGCCTCTGGCCGCACCACTGGTGAGTAACACACCTGACATCTACAACCCTTGGACCATCCATGGTGGGGAAGGGATCAAACTGGCTTCCAGCCCCCTCCCTCACCTTCCTCCCCTCTTCCCAGGCATTGTCCTCGACTCTGGGGATGGTGTCACCCACAACGTGCCCATCTACGAGGGCTACGCTCTGCCCCACGCCATCATGCGTCTCGACTTGGCCGGTCGTGACCTCACTGACTACCTCATGAAGATCCTCACCGAGAGGGGCTACTCCTTTGTCACCACCGGTACGGGGCTGGGGAGGGGGTGACAGGGACCCCTGTGGTGCCCCAGTGGCACCAGGTTGAGCCTCATCATCACCTCCTGCAGCTGAGAGAGAAATCGTGCGTGACATCAAGGAGAAGCTCTGCTACGTGGCCCTTGACTTTGAGAACGAGATGGCCACGGCTGCCTCCTCCTCCTCCCTGGAGAAGAGCTATGAGCTCCCTGATGGGCAGGTCATCACCATCGGGAACGAGCGTTTCCGCTGCCCCGAGACCCTCTTCCAACCCTCCTTCATCGGTGAGCCCACCTTGAACTGTCCTGGCTGGCCCCTAAGTGGTTTCCCCCCATTGCCACCACGGGGCAACCAGCTCCCATGGGTGCCCCACAGGCCTTTTGGGGCTCCCTGAAGCACTTTGCACCCTGAACGGGAGGGACAAACCCATGGGTCTTTTGGGGGGCCTCTGAGGAGGCACTGGTGGGGGTGATGGTGCTGACAGCCCCCTTCCCTGTCACCATCCCTGGACGTGTTTACGGGTCGTTTGGACGTGGTGTTGGTGGGTTGGTTGAGAACTTTGTGGAGTATGCACGATGGTTGCGCTGGGTGATGCCGTAGGGCTTTTCCAACCTGGATAGTTCTCTGAGTCTCTGATTCCCTCCCTCCCTCCCCCCCTCTAAGGCATGGAGTCAGCTGGCATCCACGAGACCACCTACAACTCCATCATGAAGTGTGACATCGACATCCGCAAGGACCTCTATGCCAACAACGTCCTGTCCGGCGGCACCACCATGTACCCCGGCATCGCCGACCGCATGCAGAAGGAAATCACAGCGCTGGCCCCCAGCACCATGAAGATCAAAGTAGGTGGTGGTGGTGGTGGTGCTGGTAGGACACCAACCACGGCCTCCAACACCCCGAACCCTCTGCTGGTGGAGCTCTGGGGGGAGGTGGATCCGGGGCTGCATCCTCAGGGCTCGTGTCTCGGCAGATCATCGCCCCGCCGGAGCGGAAGTACTCGGTGTGGATCGGTGGCTCCATCCTGGCATCCCTCTCCACCTTCCAGCAGATGTGGATCAGCAAACCCGAGTACGACGAGGCTGGACCTTCCATCGTCCACCGAAAATGCTTCTAAGCCCCTTCCTCACCCCGTGGTGGCCCCCCCTGGCCCAGGACAGGGCACCCTGCTCCTCCTCGGTCCCCGCTGCTCCTCCCCACCACCCACTGCGCATTAAAGCCTTTTCTCCAGGCTCTGCCCCTTTCCTGGGAGATGTTGGGGGGGTTGTGGGGGGTGCTCTGAGGGTAACAGGGAGGGATGGGGGAGCCCTGACCTCATGTTGGTGCCTGTCATCCCATGTTGGTGCCCTGACGTCATGCTGATGCCCTTGGCCCTACCTTGATGACCCCAACTCTGCCTTGATGTCTCCAACCCTGCCTTGATGCCCCCAACCCTGCCTTGATGCCCCCAACCCTGCCTT